ATGAAGCGGCACAACTAATGTGTTTATGTGAGCTAATTTGTGATGTGCACCGCTGGCCTGGCAATTTATTTTTAAATGCGCCTTCTCAGATTAATTCATTGCGTGTCGTGCCCAGGGCTGGACTGGAACAAAAAATGGGCCCGGGCATTTTGACTAGAGACCGGCCCACCAGGTATTATAGGAAACGCCATAAAGCCTTTGAATGAAAACGAAAACTGTTGTTACAGTAATGTACACTATCTTGTTAGTATTTATGTATGATTTCTAAACATTTTACCACTGATGACCACTTTGGTTGTAAGATTCAGATAATTATTTATTAAAAGCTAGACATTTTAAATGAGAATAAGAAAGAAAAGTATTTCTTTGTGCCCCCCTTTCCCTGTTAATACCCTACCTGGCCCCCTGGCAAAACTTTGCTAGACCCGCCCCTGCACAGTTACCAGCTGTCAGCTACTTAGAAAAGGATCCTGGTGTTATTTGTCAGTTTCATGATTGAAGTAGCAACAGGAGAGGGAGGAGGAGAGAATGAGAGAAGAAGATGCAGCTGACAGCGTAAAGACGCAGAATAACTCCAGCTTTGTGTTTTTTTCATTCTAGTTGAAGTACGGGACAAACTGAATTCCTTCTCAGCTCAATACGGAATGCGTTATATTTTCTCTGAATACGGAACGATTCTGTTTTTTATGGGTCGGTTGGCAACTCTACTAACTAACCTTATGAATTAAAAAAAGGTCACTATCAGTAACATCATAGCACCCACCCAGCTGTATAGAAACTCCGTCATGCTAACTAGTACGCAGTACGAGTTATTGTAACTGATTGTAAAAAGTCAGCACAACGAAAATAAACTCCACCTAAACTTGGTTTATATCTGACCCAGTGTCACAGTCCTGGGTTGGTGACCCAGTGTTTTGAGTTTCTTGTGTCTCTGAGTTTTTGTACTTTTATCTTAGTTCTCTTTGTTGCCCCAGTTTATTGTATAGTCTAGTGTGTTAGTTTGGCTTTCTTGTATTCTGTTTAGTTTTCTCAGTATTGTTGTTCTCTGTTTCTTAGTTGCTCTGTCTCCCCTAGTCAAGTTCGCGTCTCTGTGTTAGACTTCCTGTTTTACTTTGAAGGTCTGTGTCTTATGTGAATGTGTTCTGCTTTGCTTCCTTGTCTCGTCAGTTCTGATTTCTCCCAGCTGTGCCCTCCTTCTGTGTCTCATTCCCCTCGTTACTTCCCAGTGTATTTAAACCCTGTGTTTCTCTGAGTCAGTGTCGTGTCATCCCTCATGCTGTGTGATCCTTTTTGTGCCTCTCTGTGGAACGTTAGGTTATATTCTCTAGTGATGGGCAGATGAAGCCTCATGAAGCACTGAAGCTTTTCATCCAATTGGTTCACCCCAACGCGAAGCTTCTTGAAGCTTCATTTGCTCTAGCAGGACACCTACTGGACGTAAAAATATTCGTTGGCATCTTGAAGCTTCATTTGCTCTAGCAGGACACCTACTGGACGTAAAAATATTCGTTGGCATGAATTTGAAGAGTGTGGCATTTTGCACACAGCCTGTAAATGTCAACAACAAAAGGAGTGTGTAAAACATCTATATTGTAGTGATGGCAGTATACTGTGTATATTTATGCTGGCAGTATGGAAAATGATTATTTGGAAATGCCTAAAATGGAAATGATCATTTACTGTGAGGTGAGGTGTGGACAGTGGTTGTGCTTTTGTAACATTGAGGCAAGGACAGTGATTAGTGTTTAGGGGACACATCATTGGTTTTTATTTAAAAACAACAGTTTCTCCACTGTGGCAGGTCGTAGGCGATTTCTTTTTTTTCCAAACTGTTTCTAACTCTCTCCAAACTGTCTCTAACTCTCACTAACCGCAACTCTCCATCAAACGCCCACATTTTGAATGGGGTCTGAGGGGTTTATATCGCTGTCATAGCTCGCGGCAAAGTTCGAACCGCTTCCTGAACCAGTCACGTGGTACAGCTGGGCAGCGAGGCTTCGGACGTCATCATTTTCAGCTCCTCCCATAAATGAAGCAAGCCTCGATACGCGCTTCGCGGAAACGCCCCCTCCATTACTCGACACACGCTTCGAAGCCTCGATACAGAACGTCACATCACTAATATTCTCCCAGTCTAGGTTAGTTCTTCATTAGTTGTATCTTTTTCCTGCATCTACAATAAACTGCCCTTTTGAGTTCATTCCAGTGTTGCGAGTCCTGCATTTTGAGTCCTCACCTCCTGCCTGCACACAGCGATTCATGACACCCAGATAGACTGCAGGTCATAACTTCTTACCTGAAGTTCAGTTCACCTGATACTCAGACCGGCGGCCGCCTTGGGTCTCTCCTCCTCCTGCCTCCGCTTTCCCTCATCCACCTGCAGGCCTCTGTGGCAGCTCCGGCATAGCTACCACCAGTTATTTACACATCGGCCAGCATCTGGCCAATCCAACACCTTTCATTGTTCATACCGTTACAAAGAAATAAGATTATCGGCCCATAAAAATGAAAATGCCCGATTGCCAGTCCTATGGTTGGGCCATCAGTTAACCCTTTACGTGCCAGCTGTGGCACACGTGCCCAGGGTTGTCTGCTTGTTCTCACTACAACTAAAATGCGACAGCAAACGTGCTCTAGTGTGAACGCTCAAAGCGGCCCGCATGCGCAAAAGAAGACTTCACACACAACGCGCTCTGTTTAGACCCAGAGCAAAGAGTATTGTTTGACTCATGGCCCTTAATATAAAGACTTCGGACTTTACGTTTTTTCCCAATTTTTGCTTTAAGTTATTTTGTTATTTACACAATAATGTAAATAACCTAATAATGATCCTTATTGCTGTTTTAGAGAGGAGCGGTGCTTCAAAGGATAGTTGCAGATTTCTGTCAGAATCTGCAGATTATACAGTACAAAGAAAATGTTCACGTTGTCTTCCCAACAGTTTCACTGGATGGCCAGGAAGCGTTCACGATGTCTTATCGGCTGCTTCTCTGGTGCTGATAATTGGCATCTGTCTTGTGTCAGTGACGGTGGCGGTAGGGGATTCTCTGGCTGGCTGGAGCAGCATCTAATAACCAACTCGCAAAATAAAACAAAATAAAAGCAAAACAACAAACATGAAAACACCAGACATTGAATTTGAATTTGAACATTATGATACAGACTTATAATTTGTATCAATGTTTTTTCGAAATTCCAGAGGGAGTGTTCGCCTGGGGTGCCAAACAGGCTAGGACCACCACCGCCTCATCCTTTTCTTTTTATTTTCCATCCTTAAAAATGTTTTTTGACACCCTTCCAATGACTACATTTCTGATAAGTCTTTAGCAAACAACAGATGGATCAACAGAAGAGCCAGATGCATTTACCAGGTCGTTAAGTCAGTTTTTTCCTGTTTCTTAATTAAACGACTTTCAGATACTGTTTACCTGCTGTAAATAGTCTTTTTTAGGTCTTCAAAGTTATTACACAAATGCACGCACTGGAGAAACCACAAAATGAAATGAAATGGGTCGAGCAC